CGTTGATTATTTTTTCGTTTTTTCTCCTATTTACTCTTATTTTCCTCGACCTCTTTTAAATGTATATGATTTTGCTTCGAAACGCTATGGTGCGAGACATATATGTTATCCACATAACATAATAGTGTCGTGTTCGAAGACAAGCCTTTCCGGAGACGTTGATTTATTTTTCATTTTTACCCATATTTACTCTTATTTTCCTCGACTTGTTTAAATGTATACGAATTTGCTTCGAAATGCGATGGTGTGAGAAATATATGTTATCCACATCAAATAATGGTGTCGTGTTCGAAAACAAGCCTTTCCGGAGACGTTGATTGTTTTTTCGTTTTTGCTCCTATTTACTCTTATTTTCCTCAACTTCTTTAAATGTATACGATTTTGCTTCGAAAAGCTATGGTGCGAGAAATATAGTTACACATCAAATAATGGTGCCGTATTCAAAAACAAGCCTTTCTGGAGACGTTGATTATTTTTTTGTTTTTGCCCCTATTTACTCTTATTTTCCTCGACTTGTTTAAATGTATACGAATTTGCTTCGAAATGCGATGGCGTGAGAAATATATGTTATCCACATCAAATAATGGTGTCGTGTTCGAAAACAAGCTTTTTCAGAGACGTTGATTATTTTTTTGTTTTTGCCCCTATTTACTCTTATTTTCCTCGACTTCTTTAAATGTAAACAATTTTGTTACGAAACGCGATGGTGCAAGAAATTAATGTTATTCACATCAAATAATGGTGCCGTGTTCGAAAACAAGGCATTTCGGAGACGTTGATTATTTTTTTTGTTTTTGCCCCTATTTACTCTTATTTTCCTCGACTTCTTTAAATGTATACAATTTTGTTACGAAACGCGATGGTGCGAGAAATATATGTTATTCACATCAAATAGTGGTGCAGTGTTCGAAAACAAACCTTTCCGGAAACGTTGATTATTTTTTTGTTTTTGTCCCTATTTATTCTTATTTTCCTCAACATCTTTAAATGCAAAACAATTTTGTTACGAAACGCGATGGTGCAAGAAATATATGTTATTCACCTCAAATAATGGTGCCGTGTTCGAAAACAAGCCTTTCCGGAGACGTTGATTATTTTTTCGTTTTTGCCCCTATTTACTCTTATTTTCCTCGGCTTCTTTAAATGTATATGATTTTGCTACGAAACGCGATGGTGCGAGAAATATATGTTATTCACATCAAATAACGGTGCCGTGTTCGAAAACAAGCCTTTCCGGAGACGTTGATTATTTTCTCGTTTTTGCCCCCATTACACTTATTTTCCTCGACTTCTTTAAATGTATATGAATTTGCTTCGAGCGCGATGGTGCGAGAAATATATTTTATCAACATCAAATAATGGTGTCGTGTTCGAAAACAAGCCTTTCCGAGACGTTGATTATGTTTTCGTTTTTGCCCCTATTTAATCTTATTTTTCTCGACTTTTTTATATGTATACGATTTTGCTTCAAAATGCGATGGTGCGAGAAATATATGTTATTCACATCAAATAATGGTGTCATGTTCGAAAACAAGCCTTTCCGGAGATGTTTATTATTTTTTTTTTTTTT